TACAACCAAACATTGTGAAGCATCGACGTCAGGAGCATTTGGCTCCACTCACTGTTTGCAAACGAAATCGTAATAAAAAATCAGTACGCTGGTACAACTTGCCATCTAAGTTTCGAATAAGCCATCGGCTCGAAAATCATGGTAATGAGACACCGCATGCGCCTCAAAACAACCTATCCTTGCAAAAAAACTGCGATAAATTTTTTAGTAACGTTCGGACCCTAGAATTTCATTGTTATCTCGAAATGCAAAGATTCGGCGGAGCACATTGCTTGCCCTTCTGTGATAAACAAAAAACCGCAAGTACCAGTCATATCTTGAATACCACAAACGAAACGAAACACAAGTCGCTGAAACAATAATGGAATGTAAAACGTGTTCAATTTCTTTTACAAAAAGAAATCGAGTTTGATCTTTAATGTGCTGTTTCACAATAAAAAGAGTTGCATTTCTTCCAACTAAGTGTCAAATATTGTCATACACTTTTGCATCTAAAGTGGCCTGATATATACCAAAAGAAGAATGTTTGCCGCAGAATTCGCCCTCCTTTGGTCGAGAAAATTGACAAGCACTTACGAGATGGATGGAGCGTTAAGTACAACTCTTTCCTCAAAGAAGCTGAATCAAAAGATGAACACTCGAATATTTGCAAGGCGCTACTAAATCAGAAGTTATGATCCGAAGTTTCAACATTTGGCAGAAATACCAGGAACTTCTACATAAAGAAAGAAATATCCTCAAGAAAAAGCCAAAAAAGTCCTACGACTACGTTTGTGATTTTGTTGAAACGTTTCACTACCGCAGTACAGTCTGAAAACTCACAAGACAATGAATGTGTGTCAGATAAACTGGGCGGAAACTAAAATTCTCAAGTGATCCTTGTCCTGGATTGCCAGGAAGTTTTTGAGAGTGTTCAAATTTTTGAAACGTCACATTAAGTACTGCGTTCTCTTGTAGATGAACACCTTTTTTTTGTTGTTTCAATGGAAAATACTTGGACTGGGACTGAATCGTTGAATGATGAGATGAGGGAATGTTACTATTGGTCATCATGTCAAATAGCTTGCCTACCTCAACTCCTATTAAAATTTATTATTGGTTCAATTTCTCCCTGTTAGACCTCAATTTTCCTTCGTATGATACACCCGGTTTTAGAAGTGACATCGCCCCTACACTTCCTGCATCACCTAGGGTGTCGGACGAGGGATGAGATAACACCGATACCAAAGTCCAAACAATCCAACGGTACGAGGTCCCTACAACGACACTCAAAAACCACAAAAACCGCCATGAGTCGTCCACCACTGAGAACAACAACTACTCCCCCGACGAAGAAGCGGCTCCTGGAGCACATCAACACCGAGTACATAGTGGTGGTTGGCGTTTCTTGAGTGGCGGGGAGATCCTCAGTCCCAGTGTATAAACAGAGAGTTACTCTCCCCAGCAGGGCTGTTGTCTCCCAACCCTGAAGGTGAGGCTGATGGTACGAGGAGTTCAATGATGGGTGGATTGATCTATATGATCATGGTTGCAAGTTTGTGTTTGGCTGCTTTTCATGATTTTTTCATCAACATGGACGTACTTTAACATCTCACCACCTCGTTTCCTCCCTAGCTGGCCACCAGAACAGGACCTACTTGAGAGGATCACGCTCTGATCCTGACTGGGTCCACTCCCACGTCAGTGAAACATGGGGAACACAACCAGGAGCGAAGTCGGACGAGGGGGACCAGCTGTTTGAAGGGGAAAACAAGGGGGAACAAGAGTGCCGGTGGGACTGGTACAGTGAGGCTGCTCTCAAGATGATGGTTAGTTGTTTGTTGAGTTCTTTATTCAAGGAAGTCTCGTCAGAAAGGGCCCCTGTACATTGATGTTTGGTCTGAACCTTTACTGTTTTGAAATTTCCCTCTCATTTTTAGTTTCTTGGATCACAGTGCAGTGTTATCTATAAATGGTTACTACTTTGGTTAATCACTTGCACCAGTAATTTGACACAATTCGCAGAGAGGTGGGTACGGAAGGGGGCAGGTCTGGGAAAAGAAGGGCAATGATTACAAGAGCCTATACAAAGCTAGTGTTCAGAAAGGGAGGCGGGGTCTTGGTCACTACATTGACGTTACGTGGTTCTCCATTTAGATTCTTTCTTCAGCTCAATCGTCAATGTTTCTCATATCTCCCCCAAATACGCCTTTTTTTTGCGGGAAAATTCATTCCCGCATTTAATATGAATGCTAACAATGCAAGTTCTATTAATTTCTTTACATGCTGCTGTCGGTTGATCCTTGACCGGTATTAACTCAGGTTTCCAAAGCACAACAGAGATTGGAGGTACGTCCATCTCACCATCTGTCACAGTAGAGTGGATTGTCTAAACCACACTGTGGAAGGAAATGACGAGAACTACTTCAAGGTCTCCCCCTTATACAGCAACTCATCGGACCAAGAAAAGAACACGATAGAGATGAAACTAGGAGATTGTTGTCATGACTACTGTCTCTGGTTATTGGTTATTCGTTTAACTATGTTGTGGCGCTTTATACTTATTCAGTATTCACGCTAGATGCACCCCACGAATAAGACAAAACTTGATCATTCACAATATGTCCTTCCTCAATTCCAATTCATTGATTCAGGTTTGTTTCGACTGAAACTGCTTCTTGGATACAGAAAGCCATAGCCCATACTTCGACCAATTACAGAAAAAGATCTGAGAGATTCAAGAACTAGGGAGTAACCTTTCGAGAGCATTGCTTCTGTAATTTTCCAGAACAGGTTACACTTTTATTTGTTATGTATTATGCAGTACGTTAGGAGTTTACTAGGATCCCAATTTTAAATGAGATAAATAAGTTAGAAATGGTTTGCTGTCTGCAGGACCGGACAATTTTCTCCAATTATTGTTCAGGGATAAATGTTATTGCTGCGAGTGCGCTTTATGATTCACTACCTTATTAGATTAGTAACAAATAATAACTATAGGCTATCCTTGAGCCAATAGATATTTATATATGTACTCCAATCATTCAAATTTATTGTTAATAACCCACAGAGCGGGCGTGAAGGATGGTGAGGTGGGACGCTTTATAGGATGGGCATTTACCAAAAGAACAAGAACTACGTGAACATGGGGCCATCCCTATTTACTTTGGGACATTGTAGCAGGTCCCGGCGGTTTCAGGCGAGTATATCTCGTGGAGAAACAGTGGCATGCTAAAGGTAGGGGTTGTACAAGACGGGTTTTGGTTCTAGAGTGTGATTGGCAAGTGTAGTAACTAGTAGGCGTGGGAGCTATTGATTGGAGTTTCGGAAAAAAAAGGTGTCATTTTTCTGTATGATAACACAAGCTAACTTCAGATCGTTTGCTTCAGTGTCCCTATACGGATAAATCAAGTTCGAAAATCCTAAAAAGTTTTTGACACAATTAAAATTCTGACGCATTAAATAGTTCAAATACTGTAGACCACGTCCTGACTTCCTGACACAGTAACATCTCAGTTTTGGTATCACTCTGAGGATGCTCCAGAGGCCAGCGATTCAAGCTGAACAAATTCCTGGTGGTCCTGGGATGTTACGAACTTACTACGGAGTCGGTGGGGCTGGAGGGTGATGGTGAATACTGAACCTGGAAACTTGGAGGAGTTCAACGAACTACGTCATGCACAAACCGGATGGTTTGATATTTTAAGTTTGACTGTGAAAAAAGTGTTTTTTTTTGCATGGGCCTGTGATCTTACCACTGCACTAAATGGTAATGTTTACTGGATTTATGTAATTTCTCTAGGTTAAGGTATGGCTAAATGTGCATGGTTACTTGTGCGGCATCTTCTACAATCAGCAAAGAAATAGTTAGATTTTGAATTAAAATCTTCTGAGCCCACTTCCACTAGCTTCACAATCAAGAAGTCCAAACAACCAGCATTCAGTCGATTGTACAATAAGTAACCATATTGCTTCCGCTTTCTGGTGAGTTGTTATGTAGAAGTGGTGGAAACTATCACGAAACCCAGTCATAACAAATGATGATATTGAGAAGGCGCAACTGTGACCAGCGAGTTGTACCAATGTTGAACTGGCTCTAAAGCGGTACCAATTCAAGCTTTTATTGTGAGATGTGCTCTTTTGAGGCTTATAATAAGATTGGTTTTAACGTACACCTGCGGGCAATGCACGATAATGTCGGTGTCCGCTTGTTCGAAGTGTGAACGTTGTGGTAGTCAAAAATGGACTGGAAATTCATGTAAAGAAGCATCTTACTAGGGCAAAACGGGTTTGATGGCATGTTCAAAATACGATTTCAAAGGATCAAGGCATCACTGTGGAAGCACAGACAGAAAGATCCGTCCTTTCTTTTAAATCCCGATGATCGTAGTGTACTATTGTAAACACTGTCTCAACTCAGAATTGACCGCAGGGACATCCTTAGATAAAGAACAAGGGAGAGAGACTTTTATATCAAAACTACATATAGACTGCAAGAAATTGTAACAGTTTTTTCGCCACAGCTGGTATATGGAAATCATGTCGCACGACGTTTGTGAATCAACCTCTGGAGGAACGCTTTGTCTGCCAATATTGTAACGAAATTCAACACGCAAGTGTACTAAGACATTCACTGCGAAGGACGCACAAATCGTCACTTTTCTTACGAGGAATTAGCTCTAAACCCATCGATCCCCAATTTAGGTCTAACCTGCCCGGTCGAATCTTGTCCGTAGGATCTTTTACGCATCCAAAACATGAGCAATCATAAATTTAGATGTCATAAGCCCTGGAGGATTTGCAGATATTGCAAGAATTTTTATCCTCCACAGAATTGGAAAACATGTTAAACAGAAGCATGCACATACATTTGAGCACAAGAGAAAGAAACTCTGAAAAGTAAATATATTCGGGTGTAAACCCAGTTGTCCCTTTCTTTCAGTACGGAGATAGAGGTATGATGCCATTTGTTATCCCACTCCATCTCATACTCCTTCAGTTGCTATAACGTCATACTCATGCTTCAAGTGCAGGTTTTTTGCCCGTAGAATTAATAAAGCTTTAAAACATAAATTTAAGAATCGTTGGTTTAAAGAAAAACTGAATTTTGCTTTCAGTGTGTGAACATTCACAAAGATATTAAGTGATATGTGATTAAGTTGAAATCACTATTGGAACATTTTAATCAAAACATTCAACTGATAGCACGTCGATGACAAATAATTTACTATTCTAAGAAAATGACAAGGAAAAGAAAGAACACTCCTGTCTTGACTGGGTGTAGGGAGAGACACCGAATTTCCTGAATTCTTGTCTTTCAATTTTGAAGTTTCAGCATCTCGATTAAGTTCATCAATCCTGAAAACGTATGTCCATAAAACATTTGCTCTTGGTATGAAGTTGGTGCTGTTGTGTAGGATGTGGTGGTGCGTAGGATGTGGTGGTGTGTAGGATGTGGTGGTGTGTAGGATGTGGTGATTTTTAAGATGTGATGGTGTGTAGGATATGGTGTTGTGTAGGATGTGGTGGTGTGTAGTATAGGATGTGTATAATGTGGTGGTGTGTAGGATGTGGTGGTGTGTAGGATGTGGTGACTGGTGGTGTGTAGGATGTGGTGGTGTGAAGGATGTGGTGGTGTGAAGGATGTGGTGGTGTGTAGGATGTGGTGGTGAAGGATGTGGTGGTGTGTAGGATGTGGTGACTGGTGGTGTGTAGGATGTGGTGGTGTGTAGGATGTGGTGGTGTGTAGGATGTGGTGGTGTGAAGGATGTGGTGGTGTGAAGGATGTGGTGGTGTGTAGGATGTGGTGGTGTGTAGGATGTGGTGGTGTGTAGGATGTGGTGGTGTGTAGCCTGTAGGATGTGGTGGTGTGTAGGATGTGGTGGTGTGTAGGATGTGGTGGTGTGTAGGATGTAGTGGTGTCAATGATATGCCAGTGCAGTTTGTGCTACTACTAGCTGGGCATGATATTATCTACGAGATATCACCACTAGAAATAATCAAAATACTTTGTTTTTAGCTATTAATTAATTAGCTAATTACCTTGTGTTGCTCAGCGTAAGAAAGAGCGTACTCGTCAGCATCGGTAATAACGAACTGGTGCGATCTGAAGTTTACCACGGCTCCTACGTAAATATCCTGAAATGTGAGGTAGGTTACTTTTGTAGAACTTTTATAATAAATTGAGAATAATAATTGTAGTACTAAGACTAAGAATGATTGGGTTCTGTATCCAGTTTAAATATTTCTATATTTTCCGGCAGTTATTTTCAGTAGAGTAGTAACGGTTTCAATGATCAACAACTTTTGAAGGTTTAAAAACCAATAATTTTGCGATGAGCAAAATATAAAATCTCACTCTCACAATCCTATCTCACCTCAGCTTGGTAGTATCCACCACTTGGGTTCATTATCTTGCTTCTCTCGATGAATTTGCCGTGTACAATACCAGAATTCCTCTTTTCCGGCTCAAACACGGAGATAGTATCATCAGACAGGAAGAAGGAAATGATAAAGGTTCGGTCCATGTCGATGGGTCGGTTGGTGTCGAGTCTGGCGAAGAAGCGTAACACGTGACTGTCTAGTCCTTGTCTGAGAAAAGGTGAGGGTTAGATTATTTCTTACTTGAAAGTGGCTCTAATGATGAAGCGACATTTAAAAAATATCCTACTTAAACAAAAACATACTAAAACTATGTGTTTATTTGGATTCTTATTTACTCACTTTATATGCACATTAACCAGATTATTTAAATACAGTTTCTCAACATGCATGTTAAATCAATATTCTGATGATTGAAAGCCCCTCGTAAAGGGATTGTCTCTAATGGACTATATATTTATTGTTTACATCATAATCAGTTTAAAGTTGAAATATCAGCAGCAACCCACCTGTCTTTCTTCATGAATTTGATGAAGACCCCCCCCCGGCCCCCTTAAGTTGAAATATCTGCAGTGACCCACCTGTCTTTCTTCATGAATTTGATGAAGTCTCGTTTAGGAGCTTGAGCGATGAGTTTCAGGCAGTTAGCTCTGGAGTCCTCTTCGGATCCCCAGCCATTGTAAGGTGGAATCTCACGTTCAATCTTAGCAGCTTCCGTCTGTTTGTAGTGGATTGGGGTGTTCTTTGCTGTGAGAGAGATGGGTCGTTTTTAATTTAAACGAAAATATACACTAGACAGTTTTATGCGGTCACTTCATTAAGGGAAAAATGAGCGAAAGAGGACTTGAGAGAAATCAGATAATGTACATATCTTAATTCTTAATATTTACAATGTCAACATCCGAAAAACAATGAACAACTCCCTTAATTAAAAACTACAATCTCAACATAAATTTAAATAAACTCACCAACGGAGAACTTAGAGGCGTAATGGTGAGCAGTGAACTCGTCCATATCACAGACCGTCACCTCCCTGCCCCACACGTTAACCTTAGCTCCAATAGTCAGATCAGCATCAGTGTAACAGGACTTGTCCACAGCTCCTGTTTTTAGAGAGTCCAGGATGTATCGTCCTCCGTGTCCCATGGGGCCGAATACGTTCAGGATTGTTCGCTCTGTTATTTCACCGGGCTTGTGCAGCGCGCCTACTTCCTGCACGTGCAAACAGTTATTATTATAAACAGCATAAAGGCACATGATAAAGGCACATGATGCACATTGTTCTTCTCGATAGGGCAATGGGCATTCATATAGAAAATACAACTCATATATAAGTTGGTATCGACAATATCCCATCAACTAAAAGTCGAGCAAATAGTGTAACAGCCCAATTTCCTCGTCACTCTTACCTTAGGAACCTTACTCCTCCTCAAGAACTTAGGAGCGGCGTCCCTGCCGGAGTTAGCTCTGATCACCTCGCGTATCTCGATAGTATCATCAGCTAGGAAGTAGTGGAGGACAAGTTCCCTAACATCTCCGAACATCTCGCTAGAGTTATCCCAGATGCAGTAGAATCGCAGTACTTTTCTGTCGTTGTCCAGGAACTGGAAAGTGGAAATGTTATACAACAGCGATGCAATATTAGTGCAACTTTAGTGCAATATTAGTGCAATATCAGTGCAACTTTAGTGCAATATTAGTGCAACTTAATTTTTAATGTTATGATTATTTTTAATTTTTTTCATTCTGACTTTCAGATAATCAAAGCTGAAAAGTACATGATATTTCCAAAAACAAAACAAACAGGGCGGATGATTTAAAAAGAGAAAGGAATACTAAACGGGAAAAAGCACAGATAATGGAAGAGGAAGTTTTCTTAACCTGTTTGAGTGTATCACACTTCTCGTAAGGCCTATGAGGCTGCATGGTGGCAGCTTGGTTCTTCCTGTGTACAAAGTAAGGATCAGCAGGTTCAGTGGACATTGCCACCGGTACTTTAGCTCCTGTTTTAGTTAGGAAGTTACGGGTGAACTCGTCACAGTCCTGTGGGATGAAGTGTGTTAATATATACAGTGTATGAACTATGAACCGAAGAATGAACTATGAACCAAAGAACAGATTGATATTTCAAACAAATATTGATCATTTTAGGAGCCACAAAAATGTGGCCTATCCAGCATGTATCAAAACACCAGTTTCAGACTAAAGTACCTTGATGGTGAAGTTTCTGCCGTAAAGAGTAACCGCGTTGCCAACATTAAACGCCTCCACTGTGTAGAACTGATCGTCGTTTGGTGGTGGCTGGGAGATGCGGTGTCGGCGTATCAGCGTTCCTTGAGGAATACCGCTGTTTTCCTGACGGGCTTCGTTGACTTGGATACTGTCGTCTTCCAGGTAGTAGAGTATCGTGCAACTAGGGTGAGGTGTTGATTTTATGTGGCTGTACATAATTCTTAGATAAATACAAATTACTTTTTTTGAATAATAAATTTGCCGAATTTTAAGTAAAGAGTTCGTCATTATTCTATCACCTTACTACCCAAGAGAAACACGAAAACACTAAATTTACGATTACACAAAAACTCACTTTCTGATCCTGTACTTCTCCTCCCTCTTCTCGTGCACTGCCTCCTGGAAGAAAGCACTGAAACGAAGAACCTGCCGGTCGTGAACCACCCAGGAGGGGGCTGGCTGTCCGGCTCCGTTGGGGACTATCTTAGACTTGGGAGGGATCTTCTGTCCCGGAAGAGCTTTACCTGGAGAGTGATTCAGTTTAGAGGAGGATTCACAATCGGGTCTAAGATGTGAATTTACCTACTACTATACAGGGTCCTTCAGTTCAAACATGTAGCACAGAAACGAAGCCAAGGAATCTTCCGGAAGGAACATTCTCTTAGGAGACCGTGTCTGTTGAATCTGTGACAATATATAACAACCAATGACAGCTCCAGTGACAGCCAGTGATTAGCGTTTATGATGCTCAGCTATCAGGGGCTGCCATTTCGTAGTAACTTTGCATATCAGTTGGACGTTTTGACACTCCCCAGGCCATGGGCCTTCAACTGTGAAATTACGATGCAATGACCAGTGACAAGCAGTGACAAGCAAAGAAAAGTGTCAAGCAGAAGCAGTGGTCAGAAGACAGAACTATATAAAAACTAACGTATATTAACGTGTGCACATTGCACAAGGCAAGATATGATAAATTAGTCAGTCACTGCTGCAGAGAAAGTGAGCACACAACAGTCTCCGCATTATTCCATATAAGGAATAATCACTCTAATTCATCACTTTAAACATCTCATATTTCCTCTTCAATAGCCGGGCTCTGTGGCGTGAGCCTGTAATCCAGCTACTTGAAGGCGTTAACGGCTGGAATGTCTTGAGATAGGGAGTTCTGGGCTGCGCTGTGCTATGTTGAGCTGGTGTCCACGCTAAGATCGGTGCCAATATGGGCTCCTCTCGGTAGCTTGAGGGGTCCAGGTTGATAGTTAGCAGCGTACTGGCCCAGGGACGAAAGTCAGCAGGCAAAAGCTGCAGTACTGTTCAGTAGCGGGATAGCACCGGTGAATAGGCACGTAGTTCAGCCCTATCAAAATAGGCAAACTGGTCGTTACTTTTGCATAATAATACCAGTATTTGTAGATGTTTTTGTGCAGGATAAAGATATCCTAGATGCAAAAATATCTGCTCGAATACGATTATAACCAGTGGATTAACGAATAAACTTGATATCATTGTTGCTCACCTCCAATGCCTGCCTTTTCTTCACCGACAAATACGGGGACTCCGTTTCGCATATCGAATGCATGAGGCTTTCGGAAGTTATCCACTCCAAGCTGATATAGAAATTATGGTTAAGACGATAGAGCAGCACCTTTTGATGGATCTATGATTTTTGAATGATTTAAACTCTTTCAAATTCAGTATCATGTACTTACGTTGGAGTTGGTGGAATGTCCCGGAAGAAACGGGAGCGCCATCCTTAGATAGAAATAGTCAGTAAAAACTTAGATAGCACAGGATATATGACAAAAGATTACAAGTGATTTTTGAGTGAATGTGTGCGACATGTTGAAATGTTAAACCGTGACATGGTTGTAGCTGTAATACTTGTGAAATGCTAATGATTGACAATTGAGACGATTGGGTGTATTATGTGATATGAATTTGTAAAATGATATAAATAATGAACTTATTCTATCCTGATTTTAAGAATGCGTTATTGTTCATTTTATCTATTGTATCAGTTTATTTATAGTTAAGGGTGAAATTATCTGTTCATTTCCCAATAATGAACTTATGGATTCACGTATTAGTGATATTATCTTCTCAGCATCTCTAGAAGCATTTCAGCATCATTAAACTCCCACATCGTTTCATCTGGGTGCATGTAAAGGGTCAAGTTCTTGAGATTGATCCAGATGTTATAGTTCAAAGTGTACTGTTTGTTAGCCACGTGATCGGCCATGCAGTAATACAAAGCATGGGCGCACCACTGCCTCATCAGCAACTCTTTGTTGTTTGTGTGAGCTTGTAGGCCCTCTATGAGGTAAAGCAGGATCCCGTATTCGTTACATAAATCTTGGTTGTCTTTCATACAGTATGCACACATTTCTGATATTGCTTCGATTATAGCGAGTTTAACTTCATACAGCTCGTCTGGATTTCGAAGTTTTGCAGACAAGTCGGGTATGATAAATTTTCCGATGTAGCCGGATGTTTCGTTTCCTCCGGTTACTGAGATATGCCCCAAGGCTCGGATAGCCGTGATGAGTTGCTCAGTTGAAAGGGGGTGCCGGAGCAGTGAAACAGCATCAGAGATATGGGATTTGAGAGGATTACTGAAGAAATCCACAGCACTGTAATCGGGTTCCGGACTGCGAGCGTGGTAAGCTTTGTTGATTAAACCAATAAAACCAACAGATAATCGCTTGGCACTTTCACTCATTCTTTGACCCATTCCGCCATGGCCATGGGTGGATGGCCTTCCGGTCTGTTCGCTCGCTACGGAGTTCCTCTTGAAGACCATAGCAATCACTAGAGTACTAATTATAAAGATTGTACCAAGACCGAAAATCACTAGATGTAACATATCAAACCAGTTACAGAGTTTCGATAGTACAGTAGCACTTAAACAGTAAACAAAGTGTTTTCGATACGAACATCAGCTCAATCGCGAGCTGGTTGTTAAGCTCCTCCGCATAACCGACAACGAATGCCATGGTAAACCTGTCGTGAAGCCATGCGCGGCGCAGTTGTAACTACAACTTTCACTAAAATCAACATATTATCACATATGTACTAATCACATATATGTTAATATCGAAAACAATTTATGGTATTACCTTTTACAGATTGTAAATAATATTTTTGTTTATTGTTTTATTTAATAATTTTAAGTGTTTTTATTGAATTTGAGTTGAAAAACTAAATTGTATTTAAATTATAATTAAGAGTTATAGTGAACACAAATATTACCCAGGAAACCTTACTGGCTGGAGCCTAACTTTGAAAGTAAAAGAGATAGCGTCTTCCGGTTTTTTGCAAAATGTTCGTTTCGCAAAAATAACGTTTCCCCCAGGGGGAAAATTGAAAACAACGTAGATTTTGAATTATCGCGAAAAGTCATATTTTAGGCCTTATAAAACTGCGTAGCTTTAACTTTGCAGATTGTTGTTCTCTGATTGGCTGAATCGTATCACGTGGTACGCGGTACAATTGCATTCTTGGACTATTTGAAGCGTGCAAATGCAATGAACTAGCGAGCGCGCGCGGAGTTCAACATGCTGTGAAAAGGCGATCACCCTGTAGTAATATCGCTAGCCAGTAAGGTTTGCTGGGTACTTTTTGATATATTTTTTTATGTTTTACATTATTTATTTTTATCATGATTAGTTGAAAATAGCTTTTAAATAAAATTTGAGGTCGCGCAATACAATTACAAAATAAAATTTTTTGAGCACATCAAAATAATTTTAATTCAAAATTACATTTAATCATATTATTGATTATTGGTAATATGTAAATTGCTATTGCTAAATTGCTATAATACGCCACCTAAAGCTTATTCAACCTTGTAGGTTTACAACCTACCAGCAACCAAGACGCGCGCCGAGTTGGACTCGTCGACGGTCTTGAAACAAATAATTTATAATATGATGATGCAATATGATGATACAAGTATCACTCCTTATAGTTTGTTGACATACGTTGCATGCCACTTTTAGCGCGAAACATGTGTCACATAGTTTCTATCAAAACATTTAAATGTTAATACATAACTGATCACGTTTTATAATTTGCCACGCCGCGCATTTTCAAACGCTAGGCAGAAATCTTTCTGTAGAATCGAGCGCTACACCATTTCGTCAATAATATTTAACGTTCTGACTGTGTTTAACTTTACCGTTAAATCGAATCGGCTGGTATTCATATTAGGACGACGAGCAGCATGTCGACCGAATTGAAATACGGTGAATCTGCTGTTGACGTATTGAATGTCATTGTGCAAATCGGTGCAACTCTCTACGGTCTTTCAAAAGATATGATAATATAATATAATATAAAGTTTAATATTAGTTTTACTTTTAAATATTAATATTGATAGTACGAAATTTGTAGAATGTAAAGTGCTTTGTACTTTAAAGATGGATTCTACAAGTAAGAATCCTACCGAAGATACTCCTCATGCAGAGATCAGGAAATACCTTTTACGAGACAAGAGTAGGACTGCCCAACGCGTCTTTTGTGAGTAAAAATGTTTAAATTAAATATGCTTTATCTTACATAATTTTATCAGTAATAATGATTTGGTGTTTTGATACACTCTTGTACTTTAAACGAACAACTGTAAAAACTCTGTGGCCCATGTCTATGGTTGAAATATCATCTATGCGCGATTAAAATTCCGTTACTCTGACCGCGGTAATGCTCTTCATTGATTTCAAGAAGGCATTCGACAGCGTGCACCATGGACTCCTCATGAAGATCCTCCTGGCATATGGAATTCCCAAGGAGATTGTAGGCTTGATACAAAGAATGTATGCAGATACATTTGCTCGTGTGATTACCGAGGATGGTCTGAGTGAAGCATTCTTCATTGTAGCAGGAGTGATGCAGGGAGACACTTTGGCGCCCTACCTATTCATAATCGTAATTGACTACTTTATGAGGGTATCCCTAGAGGGTAGGGACTTTGGGTTTACTCTATATCCTAGAAGAAGCCGTCGCTATCCGGCAGTCAAGGTCACTGATGCAGACTTTGCTGACAACCTTGCTCTTATAACAGATAGTGTTGCGGAGGCACAAGATTTCCTCAGGAGTCTGGAACTGGCGGCCAACTCAGTTGAACTCCACCTCAACGAGGGGAAAACTAAGTACATGGGAATCAACATAAGAGATGATGATAACCCGACTCTGGTTGCTGGGAGTGGGAAGAACATTGAGAAAGTCGATGACTTCGTATATTTGGGTAGTAGAATGAAGAGTTCGGAGAAGGACTTCGAAGTGAGGAAAGCTAAGGCATGGGGAGCGTGTCACCAGATGAAGCTTGTATGGAAGTCGGATATGCGTAGAGATCTCAAGATATGACTGTTCCTGGCTACAGTCGAGTCTATCCTTCTATATGGCTCTGAAACATGGACTGTCAGTCAGACCCTCGCAAAACGTATTGATGGATGTTATACGAGAATGCTGAGGATGGCACTGAACATTGACTGGAAAGAGCGGCAGACTAACGCCAAGGTGTATGGACACCTCATCAGAGCATCTGATAAGATAGCTGCACGGAGGATGAGACTCGCAGGTCATTTAGCTAGACATGAAGAACTATTGAGTCATCAACTTCTCTTCTGGGAACCCCTTCAAGGACATCGTCGAAGGGGAAGACCATATCTCACATACATTGACATCCTTCGGAAGGACACGGGGCTTGACAACAGCAAAGAGATTAACAAACTCATGCTGGATAGACAGATTTGGAAGAAGACTATTTCTGTTCGGACGCTGAAGCCACCCTAATTCGAGTAAGTCGTACACACAAGGATCAAAAATACAGAATATTGCCCGTGTTCAATAATAATAATAATATTCCATTTCTGCTTCTTGTTATTCTGGCTGAAAGTCTATCTACTGGAGAAACCTCTCTGTCTAGGATCAAACATAAGTTGAAAAAAAAAAAAACAAAACACACAGGAGAGAAAACTTATTCTTGCAGTTTGTGTGATTACAAAGCAAGTCGATCGAGCGATGTTGCTCGTCACAAACTGACACACACAGGAGAGAAACCCTATTCTTGCAGTTTGTCTCATTATAAATCAAATCAATCGGGTCATCTTGCTCGTCACAAACTGACACACACTGGAGAAAAACCTTATTCTTGCAGTTTGTGTGATTACAAAGCAAGTCGATCGAGCACTCTTGCTCATCACAAACTGACACACACCGGGGAGAAACCTTTAAATTCTTGTAGTTTGTGTGATTATAAATCAAATCAAGAAAACAACAAATTTTTTTTTCAAGAAAACAACAAATTTTTATTTAAATCAATTATAGCAACAATTTGAAAAACATTAAAGTTTTTTCTATTACCATGGAATATACTACGGGTATGGTGACTTGGGCTATTGAGTTGTTAAGTTGATTAAGATTAGTAAACCTGCACTTGCATTGTATTTATAAAAACTAGAAATTAGGCTTCACGGTAAAATGGAGAAGCAGGCTGATCTTGGAGAGAGCAGACCGTAACGTTTACGCACCCACCAGGGCTACCTACCTACCCCAGTTGTTCTTTTTGGTTTATCAGCTTGTATTGTTATATTTATGGACCCCAAGTCACCACACTAAGAAGGAGTATGTAAAAATAATAATAAGTTAAAAAATAATATCATCATATCAGTTTAAAACAGTAAAAGTTAAGTTGAGGATTGAATTTCCTAGTTAATTTAATGGTTCAAACGTTTGGGAATATAATAATGTTGGTATTTGTATCTGCTGCAGCAATAATATCGATCTGTCATTTGTCTAGAAATTTTTCGCCACTTCAATAGATATTGGGTCGGCAATTTGGTGAGTGAGTGATGAACTGGTTTGGTATGTGACTGAGTGAGGGGCGATGTGAAAGTTGTGGTAAGTCCAGGTGTTATTATTGTTGATGGATTGGGATCCCAGGATGATACTTTTACAGCGTAATTTAACCAAAGATACAGAAGTAGTGAGGATTTCCCCATTCTCATTTAGAATCCGTTTATGTATGCTATTCCACAATTTGGAGGCTATATAAAGAAACGTGTTGGTTTTTCTTGGGAGGATTATGACATTGCTTGTATCACGTTTTGATGAGTCTATAGTACAATACAACGAGTATGGAGTGCGAAATTTCATAATTCGAAATATCTCAGATATACAGTGGTATTTGTACAAGTTTTGAACAGTAAGCAATTTTAGTCGATTAAAAATGGGCTTGGTGTGCTCTTTTTCGAAAAAAGCAGCTCCTAACCTCTGTTTTGTATAAGGTCTGGCTCGTGCACAAGTGGCATGTTTGTCGAGGTATGCATTTAGGTCTCCAAAAAGGATTCTTATACAACGTTTCTGAGTTATGAACAGCTTATCGTTTGGTTGGTCTTTGAGGGCTGAGCCCCAAACACTTATTCCGTAAGCGAGATGTGATTCCAATAATGCAGAGTATATTTTTTGGTAGTGTTCCCCTGGAACTGAATGTTTAATCCTGTTAAGTGCTCCTGTAGTGGATCTAATTTTTTTTCTTAGATATTCTATATGTGGGCCCCAGCTAAGTTTTTCATCAATTACTACACCAAGAAATTTGGTGTTGCTAACCAAATCGATCAAGCAATCTTGCTTCTCACAAACGGACACACACCGGGGAGAAACCTTATTCTTGCAGTTTGTGTGATTACAAAGCAAGTCGATCAAGCACTCTTGCTCGTCACAAACTGACACACACCGGGGACAAACCTTTAAATTCTTGTAGTTTGTGTGATTATAAATCAAATCAATCGGGCAATCTTGCTTCTCACAAACGGACACACACCGGGGAGAAACCTTATTCTTGCAGTTTGTGTGATTATAAATCAAATCACTCTTGCAATCTTGCTTCTATCAAACAGACACACACTGGTTAGAAACCTTATTCTTGCAGTTTGTGTGATTACAAAGCAAGTCGATCAAGCACTCTTGCTCGTCACAAACTGACACACACCGGGGACAAACCTTTAAATTCTTGTAGTTTGTGTGATTATAAATCAAATCGATCGGGTAATCTCGCTTCTCACAAACAGACACACACCAGGGAGAGAGAAATTCCGGAAGAAGAATTTCGCTAGTTAATACATTAAATTATTATAGAGTATGTTTGATAAATTTACTTGGACAGAATTTTGATGACCAAAATCTTGTCGGTCATCCCAGAAAATATATTTAAATGATATTGCAAACTTGAGATTGTTCTCCTTTTGGTTAATTTTCATAACTACAATTTGTGGCTTGATTATAATATATTTTATTTAATAATTTGATGATTGAAATTAGTTACCAATTATAATACACTAGTAGAAACTTGCTAGTTGAAAGCTTTGTTCAAGGAAATCTTAAAAATCAGTTATGTTTAATTTCTCTTTATCATCAAGCTCTGTTATACTACTATGGAAAGTAGGGATTTTATTTGACAATGACAAAAACGTTGAATTTTGAGATAATGATAACTTTTATTGACTTAGTTATTAACTTAGTCAACCTAAATTAGACAATGTTGTAAAATCTTGCAACCAATGAATTGTATGAAAAAGGAAGAAAATCCTTATTTAAATCAGCACAAGCAGTTTCACTTCATTTTATCGCTGATAATTTCAATTATTGTCGATAACTTCCAAAATCTTGTTGGTTATCACAAACAAATATTTGACCGATATTGCAAACTTTAGAGTGTACTCTTTTTGGTTTATTGCTCAATCAAATTTGAATATATAATTTATTTGGTATTTTTCATGATTGAGTCGTTACAAATTATAGTAAATAATCTTGTTATTTTTAATTCTGTTCGCTTAAGACGTAAAGAACATTGATATGCAAACATTTTTATCAGGAATGTCACTTCTAAAAACAGAAAGGTTTGAGGGGATTGATATCAAAGAAGAGATGACAGACGACCAACAAGTTAACACTACTTCAACCTGGTCATCATCAGTATGCAATTGTAAATGTGAGGAAGACGACGGAAGTAACAATCTGAAAGCTGAAGCCGTGCTGTGTAATCAGCTTGAAGCTAGTTCAGAACACTTCAACCAAGTAGGTGAAGTTGTAAAGATTGAGGATGTCAGGATTTTCCGTGATGTACCGCCTAATGATGAACCTTTGGACTATAAAGAACTTTGGTGTAATAACTGTAATCTTGCGCTAACACCATCGAATGTAATACCTGCGAAAAGAAAGTCTTCTTATTTTCCTATACCTACTGAGTCTGATTGTGGTATTCAGGCTGAAACTCTATCTATTGGAGAAACCTTTCCGTCTGGGACTAAACAGAAGTTGAAAAAACAGAAACAAAAACACACCAGAGAGAAAACATATTCTTGCAGTTTGTGTGATTACAAAGCAAGTCGATCGAGCCATCTTGCTTCTCACAAACGGACACACACTGGGGAGAAACCCTATTCTTGCAGTTTGTGTGATTATAAATCAAATCAATCGAGCTCTCTTGCTCGTCACAAACTGACACACACCAGGGAGAAACGTTATTCTTGCAGTTTGTGTGATTACAAATCAAATCAATCGAGCACTCTTGCTTCTCACAAACTGACACACACCGGGGAGAAACCTTATTCCTGCAGTTTGTGTGATTATAAAGCGAGTCGATCCAGCACTCTTGCTCGTCACAAACGGACACACACTGGGGAGAAACCTCATTCTTGTAGTTTGTGTGATTATAAATCAAATCAGTCGGGCGATCTTGCTCGTCACAAACTGACACACACCAGGGAGAAACCTTATTCTTGCAGTTTGTGTGATTATAAATCATATCACCCTTCCAATCTAGAGTGAATATTCACTTTAGAAACTAGAAATAACTCATTTCGGCCAAAAACTTACAATTTTTTGGAAAACTTATACGTAGTCGCATCTTTTTGAACACCAGCAAAGTTCATTCTGCACACCTAATCGAAGTAGTCTTGTTAAACCTCAGTGAACACATATTTCGGCGAAAAACTATTTGAATGTCACATCAGTTCTTTAGTTGTACTTCGGTTTTGAAGGTTCTTTTCGATATCTTTGTTTAAATCTATTATACCATATGATTAATAATGAGTATGAATATTTGGGGGTTTCCAATGTTGAAAAATGGTGAAATGTTACGATTTGAAAACTCGATTCACCATAAAAATCTTTCGCCATTTTTCGCCATTTTTCACGATTTGAATGTTTTGCTTTCGAAATATCAAATTGAAATATTAAATGTGTATTCTGGTACTATACGACATTCCGAGAGCTCAGTTGTGTCGATGTACCTTACTCGCTATGATCACCAAAAGTTACTACTTTTGATGACCTTACTCGCCATGATCACCAAAAGTTACTACTTTTGATGTACTTACTTGTCATGTTCACTAAATGTTACCATTTTTGTTGTACCTTACTCTCCATGTTGACCAAAAGTAACGATTTTTTAATGTACCTTATTCGCATGGGTCACCAAAAGTTACCATTTTTATGTACTTTGCTCTCCATGATCATCAAAAGTTACTAGTTTTGATGTACCTTACTCGCCATAATATGATTTATAATGAGTATCAGAATGAAAAATCTGCCAGCTTTTACTGTATTAAGGATCTTAAATAGATCAACTTATATCTACATATTATTGTCCTGTTTGAATCATGGTATATAACTCTTTCTTATTGAAGATTTATATATTTGTATAATTGTTTTTTAGTAGCAATACTCAATAATGAAAATTCAATTACAAGTAGTTTCCATTTCTCCAATTGTCTGATTTACTATATTATAATGCAACCATTGAAACTTGATCATATAAAACATTGTATAATACTAAAATTATGATTGATACACTGCACTCCTGAATTATTACTGATTTCCAGTTCAACCTGAGTGTATTAATTAATTAATCCAGAATACTCTTTAGATGTCATGTTCTCACATAAAGACCGAAGTGAAGACCGAAGAAGAGGATTTGAGAAGCAAAACTGGAGGTTTTCTGTGTCCAGCATGTGGTGAACAACTTTTCTACGAGAAGTATTTCCTTGAACATATCAGGGAACGTCATTATAAGCCTGACCTACGAGTACAAGATGAGGAGCACAGTTTGTTACATGAGTTTGCTGGAGGTTCTGTTCATGAAAATGTTCATGTTACAGAACAGGATGGTTGTTTTGTTAAAAATAAATGTGATGTTCTTAAATCAGAAGTAAAAACTGAGATGAGTGAATTCAATGGAGAGGCTGGAGGTTTTCTCTGCTCAGTTTGTGGGCAAAAATTTTTGGAGGAGGACAGTTTTATTAAGCATATCAATGATCATTTTAATAATTCTAGCAAACGAAAAAGACCACTATGTGCTGAATTTCAAAATGACAGTGATAATACAGGATATGGGATAAGTAATAAATCAGACAATTCTACTGTTTCTCAGGAGATTCCCAATTCTCCTGAAGATATTCTTGCTAGTGAAAAGCAGTTAAAATCAAACCTCAAAAAACATGTGAAGACTTTCTCCGGAGAGAAACCATTTAAATGTCCAGATTGTTCGTATGCAGCATGTCTGAAATCAAACCTTAACAGACATATTCTGAGTACTCACTCAGGAGAAAAATCATTCAAATGTTCAAATTGTCCGTATGCAGCAGGTTTGAAATCAACCCTCGAAGAACATCTGAAGACTCACTCCGGTGATAAATCATTCAAATGTCCAGATTTTCCGTATGCAGCAGGTTTGAAATCAACCCTCGAAGAATATCTGAAGACTCCCTCCGCGTCCGGGGATAAATCATTCAAATGTTCAGATTGTTCGTATACAGCAGTTCAGAAATCACGCCTCAAATATCATATGATGACTCACTCTGGGGACAAACCATTTAAATGTTCAAATTGTTCGTACGCAACAGCTAAGAAATCAGACCTAAAAAGACATATGAGAACTCACTTGCTCTCCGAGGAGAAACCGTTCAAATGCTCAGATTGTTTCTATACAGCAGCTCGGAAATCCCTACTCAAAGTACATATTATGATGTCTCACTCCGGAGAAAAACCATTTAAATGTTCAGATTGTTCGTATGCAGCAGCTTATAAATCAAATCTACTTAGACACCAGAAAATTCATGATAGAAGATGAACTCATTGGGTCGAAAAACTGTAGAAGTTTTTGAAATGATCTTAATACATTGTATATGCTGGCACACGATAATCGCGTGTTTTTGAACATTAAAAGACTTGTACCCACGAGTGTTTATAATTCAGAACACCATTTTCTGATGTAAAATACATTTGAACGTTCACTCTGTTCTTATGTGGTAACAACAAATTCCTAATTACCAGACATAACATGCTAATGAGGATTATGTAATATTGGAAACAAAAAATTGCATTTAAAATTATACTGCTGGTTTAGGTTCTTTGCGATATTTTTTTCTCAATCGTAGTATACCATTATATGATTGATAATGAGTATTGCAATGAACAATGTGCCGGCTTTTATTGATTAGGAATCGTATACAGCAACTAATATTTGTACATAATATTGTCCTGTTTGTATCATGGTATATAACTCTGTTTTGTTGAAGATTAAGGTATTTGTATGATTCTTTAGTAGCAATTTTGTTAATAATGATGGACGTTTCCATTGTACTATAAATTCAATTACAAGTAGTTTCCATTTCTACAATTGTCCGAGTAACTATATTATAATGCAACCATTGAAACCTGATCATATAAAACATTATACATATAACTATATAATACTAAAATTATGATTGATACACGGCACTCCTCAATTATTACTAATTTCCAGTTCAACCTGAATGTATTTATTAATTAATCCAGAATACTCTTCAGATGTCATGTCCTCACATTAAAAGCGAAGTGAAGGCCGAAGAAGAGGATTTAAGAAGCAAAACTGGAGGTTTTCTGTGTCCAGCATGTGGCGAACAACTTTTCTACGAGAAGTATTTCCTTGAACATATCAGGGAACGTCATTATAAGCCTGACCTACGAGTACAAGATGAGGAGCACAGTTTGTTACATGAGTTTGCTGGAGGTTCTGTTCATGAAAATGTTCATGTTACAGAACAGGATGGTTGTTTTGTTAAAAATAAATGTGATGTTCTTAAATCAGAAGTAAAAACTGAGATGAGTGAATTCAATGGAGAGGCTGGAGGTTTTCTCTGCTCAGTTTGTGGGCAAAAATTTTTGGAGGAGGACAGTTTTATTAAGCATATCAATGATCATTTTAATAATTCTAGCAAACGAAAAAGACCACTATGTGCTGAATTTCAAAATGACAGTGATAATACAGGATATGGGATAAGTAATAAATCAGACAATTCTACTGTTTCTCAGGAGATTCCCAATTCTCCTGAAGATATTCTTGCTAGTGAAAAGCAGTTAAAATCAAACCTCAAAAAACATGTGAAGACTTTCTCCGGAGAGAAACCATTTAAATGTCCAGATTGTTCGTATGCAGCATGTCTGAAATCAAACCTTAACAGACATATTCTGAGTACTCACTCAGGAGAAAAATCATTCAAATGTTCAAATTGTCCGTATGCAGCAGGTTTGAAATCAACCCTCGAAGAACATCTGAAGACTCACTCCGGTGATAAATCATTCAAATGTCCAGATTTTCCGTATGCAGCAGGTTTGAAATCAACCCTCGAAGAATATCTGAAGACTCACTCCGGGGATAAATCATTCAAATGTTCAGATTGTTCGTATACAACAGTTCTAAAATCACGCCTCAAATATCATATGATGACTCACTCTGGGGACAAACCATTTAAATGTTCAAATTGTTCGTACGCAACAGCTAAGAAATCAGGCCTAAAAAGACATATGATTACTCACTTGCTCTTCGAGGAGAAACCGTTCAAATGCTCAGATTGTTTCTATACAGCAGCTCAGAAATCCCAACTCAAAGTACATATGATGTCTCACTCCGAAGAAAAACCATTTAAATGTTCAGATTGTTCGTATGCAGCAGTTTATAAATCACGCCTCAAATATCATATGATGACTCACTCTGGGGAAAAACCATTTAAATGTTCAAATTGTTCGTACGCAACAGCTAAGAAATCAGACCTAAAAAGACATATGATTACTCACTTGCTCTCCGAGGAGAAACCGTTCAAATGCTCAGATTGTTCGTATGCAGCAGTTTATAAATCAAATCTACTTAGACACCAGAAAATTCATGATAGAGGATGAACTCATTGGGTCGAAAAACTGTAGAAGTTTTTGAAATGATCTTAATACATTGTATATGCTGGCACACGATAATCGCGTGTTTTTGAACATTAAAAGACTTGTACCCACGAGTGTTTATAATTCAGAACACCATTTTCTGATATAAAATACATTTTAACGTTCACTCTGTTCTTATGCGGTAACAACAAATTCCTAATTACCAGACATAACATGCTAATGAGGATTATGTAATATTAGAAAAAAAAAATTGCATTTAAAATTATACTGCTGGTTTAGGTTCTTTGCGATATTTTTTTCTCAATCGTAGTATACCATTATATGATTGATAATGAGTATTGCAATGAACAATGTGCCGGCTTTTATTGATTAGGAATCGTATACGGCAACTAATATTTTTACATAATATTGTCCTGTTTGTATCATGGTATATAACTCTGTTTTGTTGAAGATTAAGGTATTTGTATGATTCTTTAGTAGCAATAAATAGTTAATAATGATGGACGTTTCCATTGTACTGTAAATTCAATTACAAGTAGTTTCCATTTCTACAATTGTCCGAGTAACTATATTATAATGCAACCATTGAAACCTGATCATATAAAACATTATACATTATATAACTATATAATACTAAAATTATGATTGATACACGGCACTCCTCAATTATTACTAATTTCCAGTTCAACCTGAATGTATTTATTAATTAATCCAGAATACTCTTCAGATGTCATGTCCTCACATTAAAAGCGAAGTGAAGGCCGAAGAAGAGGATTTAAGAAGCAAAACTGGAGGTTTTCTGTGTCCAGCATGTGGTGAACAACTTTTCTACGAGAAGTATTTCCTTGAACATATCAGGGAACGTCATTATAAGCCTGACCTACGAGTACAAGATGAGGAGCACAGTTTGTTACATGAGTTTGCTGGAGGTTCTGTTCATGAAAATGGTCATGTTACACAACAAGATGGTTGTTTTGTTGAAAATAAATGTGATGTTGTTAAATCAGAAGTAAAAACTGAGATGAGTGAATTCAATGGAGAGGCTGGAGGTTTTCTCTGCTCAGTTTGTGGGCAAAAATTTTTGGAGGAGGACAGTTTTATTAAGCATATCAATGATCACTTTAATAATTCTAGCAAACGAAAAAGACCACTATGTGCTGAATTTCAATATGACAGTGATAATACAGGATATGGGATGAGTAATAAATCAGACAATTCTACTGTTTCTCAGGAGATTCCCAATGCTCCTGAAGAAATTCTTGCTAGTGAAAAGCAGTTAAAATGTCCTGATTGTTCATATTCAACTACACGAGAAACAACTCCTCAATATTACTTAACAACTCACTTCGGAGAGAAATCATTTAAATTTTCAGATTGTTCGTCTGCAGCAGGTCTGAAATCAAACCTCAAAAAACATGTGAAGACTTTCTCCGGAGAGAAACCATTTAAATGTCCAGATTGTTCGTATGCAGCATGTCTGAAATCAAACCTTAACAGACATATTCTGAGTACTCAC